TTGGTTGAGGAATTCTCAAGACTGTCAGCTGCCTTTTCATTTCTAAGACTGAAGAATCACTTCCTTTATCAGTTTTTGAATGTTCTTCCGTCATTCTTTAGGGGATTCATTGCTAGTGAGGAATGACACATATCACGTCAATGCTATGGAGAAACTACACGGTGCTAAAGTTTTTGTTGAGGCTAAAATAATTTCTGTGACCTTACTTATTAGTTTTCTGTTGCTTTTCAATTTCACTTGAGGCTATGGAATAAAATTCAAGGACACAGAAGTTTGAGAATGTTGTGCTCGAAGAAATGTTTTGCATTTCCTAACTTGGAGTTGCATTCATGTGTGTGACTGCACACACTTGGTGATAGTATCAAAACGAGAGAGGTGTGAATGAAGCTGCTTATACAAACCTGAATATATAACAATGTCCCTTGGTCAGAGTGATCATATAAGTTATTATTAAAATATTTTAACTTTTGTTTCTCTCAATTAATGGTAGATTTTTCTCTTCATCAGGAGTTTTTTTTGCCTTTAACTTTGTTTGTATCTGCTGTGTTCTCTTTTAAAAAATGTGCATTTGTAATTATTTGTTTTTCTACCTACTGTATGTTTCAGTGTGTTTTCTGTATCCCATTTGTTGCTGCTGCAATGGCCCAGTTATTGACCCAATTTAAGAATCATCAGAGGGGTTATTAAATAATGAATTTAATACTTTCTAAAAATGGAAAAAAATAAATAGTCTATAAAACAAAACAATAGGATTTATTCCTGGTGTATGAAATGTTCCTAGATACAAAGAAGAGTCTGACATCATCGTGTGCTGTACCTGTCTCTGTGTGTTCCAGAGCAGCTGAAGCGTGTGGATGAGGGCATGGACCAGATCAACCAGGATATGAGACAGGCCGAGAAAAACCTCACCGATCTCTCCAAGTGCTGCGGCATTTGTGTCTGCCCCTGTGACAGGTACTCTGCACACCCCGAGCCGCTGAGGGCTCCATATCACTGCTTTTGGGTACACAACACTGTTCTAGTGCCATTGGGAGATTCAATTTATCACTCTTTTCTCTTATTAGTGTTTGGCTGATTTTAACAAATACTTGCAAATGAACACGACAAATCCAGCTTTTCACAAGCAAGGAAATAAATAATATAAAATTTAAAAATAAATTAAAATACATTTTGGTTTGTTCATTCTTAATATTATGGATAGTGTTTCAAAGTGGGTGGAGTTTTTTTCCACGCACAGTGTAATGTATCTAATATTTTGAATATTTAAATCGCTACGACAAGGGTTGGACAGCCGAGTCACAAATGATCTGTTCTTGGATAATAAAAAATGGAAGGTTTGTGTATATAGTCCCAAGGAGCATTGGCTGACTGAGCTTAGAAATCTTTTAGCAGCACTACTAACAGCTGTCAAATGTAAAGTTAAAAGTGTTAAGATAATGAATGACACAATCTGTGGCTGAAGTCAGTTCACTTGTGGATTGTGGGTCACTTTAGGATAAATTATTCAGCCATTATGATACCGTGTTTTGTTCCTTACTGCAACTCTGAAACTCACAGCAGCTGCTGCTAAATTTGCCATAGTGTATTTAGCTGTCTGGTGGCCATTACCATAAACCTACATGATTGTAGCCTTTTCTGGGAAAGCGCCATTTTATTCTTTGTTAAGTAACATTGAGGATGTGATTTGAATAAGATGAGGAAAGTTTTGAAAATGGGAACAAACACCTCAGACAAACCAGAAATACATCCCACTTCACTTCGGTTCTATCGTCACTGACTTGAAAGTAGCATGAAGCTACTCGGATCCGTTGGGTGCTTTCGCAGCATTAACACAGCTTGAACTGCTGCAACACAAAATGCTGATTTGTCTGTCAAATGTTGTATTTTGTGGTCATAAGCTTTCTTTTCCAATTTGTTTTTGAAAAAGTGCGTGAACCTTGGGGTGTAATGTTCCGTGGTGAACACACTCTAATCTCTGAATCTGTCAAACTGTATCGGTGAGCAGCGTCAGTGTATTTGTACAATACGATCATATCTGGTTCTAAATATGAAAAACATCTTTTCAAAATGCTTTCACATTGGAGAGGAGGATTCATTGATGAGTACCAAAAGATAAGGTATGGAATCTGTTTTTTTTTTGATGTAATGATAAATGTGCATCAGTGGATATATTAGTGATGAACTCCTTTCTGATGCTCTTCCTCATAGTTCAGTTTTTTTTTTTTTTAAATTGAAAGTTTTCTAGTTCTTAAGCTAAACCCCTTTCAGATTTCCTTGTTTGTTCTGACGTATGATTTATTTATTTTTTCTTTGCCAGGGTGACTTCTATTGAGCACGATTCACGATACAAGCGAACCTGGGGTATGGGAGGAGGAGATGGCGAAACTGAAGGCAATGGCTCAAAAGTGGTCTCAAGGCAGCCGTCGGGTGTTCGTAACGGTCAGGCCGGCCAGGTGAACGCCTCAGCACCTTCAGGCCCGTACATCAAGAGGTGGAGTCCGGCTTTTTCTTTTTTCTTTTACTATAGTGCTGTCACACATTATTATTACTGTCCTGATCACATTTGAAAACATAAATACATGTTTGAAAGACCCTTTGTAAACCAACATTTTTACGTCTGTGGAACAGGATAACCGACGATGCTCGTGAGGACGAGATGGAGGAGAATCTCGATGCAGTCGGCAGCATTATTGGCAACCTGAAATCTATGGCTGTGGACATGGGCTCTGAGATAGACAAGCAAAACAAACAGATTGACCGCATCAATGACAAGGTAAGAGCCTGAGATTAACTTCCTGCCATTGTTCATTTTTATGTCGTAGATGACAGCTGTGAAGCAGCTTCTCTCGCCTTAATCCACTGATGCTTCCTTCCAAGAGGATTTAGGAGGAGTTTTACCTGAGATGTCTTAAAAAAAACACTCAGTCATAAAAGAGATTTTTTTTTCCTCCGCTATTTATCACCTCAAGCTTTATGGACACATTACACCTCACTATACTCACTCTGGCAAAACGTTCACACTGTTTCTCTGACTGATCGAACATCCTGGCACATTACCTTCACTGTAACAGGGACTCCTCGCTAGCGCTCTATTTTTGACCGTGTTTAAATGCATTCAAAGTTAGTTGTGATTTGCTTAATGAAAAAGTAACAGGGTGATTGTATAATTGCCTCTTTTCACCTGTTTCATCGTTTTCTTTCAGGCGGACATGAACAAGGTTCGCATTGATGAAGCGAACCAACGAGCCAACAAGCTCATCAAATAGTCACGGAACCAAGCTTCTGCCAGATTCATCTATCAACCTTGAGCCTGTGTCGCCCCACACACACACACACACACACACGCACGCACGCACGCACTACATACTTGCACATATGCACAAACACACACTCTTTGACAACATAAAATAGAAATCCACTCTGGGAGAATGTTAATGCCAGCAGTGTGCCTGCCTTTACTGCACTAATATGTAAACATTTATACAGTCTATAAATTGGCCACCACCTCAAATACTTAAACATTTGTATTCATAGTCGTGCTGGACCTGGGAAAGTAGCGTGGGCATCAGACACTGCAGCAAACAGCCAGTGACTGAGTGCCTGTCACTGCAGTTTGATACCAAATATGGACCCGACTTGTATCGTATCACAACATTCACAGGAAGGGAAGTAGCGCAGGTCAAATACTGTTCTTGCTTATTTTATTCCCCTGTTTGCCTTCCTCTTCAGTCAAAAGCTATGAACTGTCTTTATGTACGCCTCTCTGGAATTTATGGAAAAGGTCAGTGATCCATAGTCATTAATTGTTTTTAAATGATAAACAGTACAGCATCAATTTATGTATCACCCCCCCCCCCCTGTTGGTTTTACCCTGATAGAGCTGAATCCACATAATTCTTGGTCTAAAACAAATCAATCAAATTCCTATTGGTCCATGTTAATTATATCATGTGTATTGTTTTGAGATGCTTATTTAATTATTCTTTATCGAGCAGAAATGACTTGTGAATAAAGTTGTCCTTTTTTTTTTTAAACACTTTGTTCCCATGTCATTTTTGCCATTTCTTCCCAAGTTGTTTTAAAAAATAAAAATAAAAAATGTTGTGCTTCAGAGTCCCAGCTGAAATACTGTGCCGCTGGAATTCAAAGCACCTACCCCTGAATGAGAGCAATTAAATGTTGATGTTTTTCATTTTTCTGACTGATGGTTAAGTCAAGGTTATTGTATTAGCAGGAATATTGCAAGGCATTAGAAATTAAATGTATAGCAATCGCTATTCCTTCAAATGTGAAGGAGGGTCAGTTAGCATCACGAGGAATGTTCATCATTTCCTCCTGTACAGCGTCTTTAGTTCGGTTTATGTCATCCCTGACAATGGTGAGATTTTTCATCAGGATCAACTGCTGTACTTCATAATTCGCGTCACTTGAGGTTTTTCTCTCCGTGATCGCAGTGTGGTTGTAAATACTGAAACACAGTGTAGCTGTTCATTAATTGCCTATAGTCTTGCTGATAATCTAATTTCATTCTTTCTTCGTTACCTCCCAGTTAATAGAGATTTATAGCACCCAAGAGGAGATTTAACGGCCCCACACGAGCCTGGTAATGTGTGGAAAATTAATTTCCTCAAGTTTAATAATTGCCTGTAAGAGTATGAAAACACATGTTGAGTCTGGAAACACATGGCTGTGCTTTGTTAAATTCACTGTCATCCCTCATATAGACTCGCTGGGTCATTGCCGTTGTGGCACATGCAGCAGTTTTGTTCTAATGAAAATGACCTCGACTTTTTTTTTTAAATTAAAGAAATGAGTCTGGGAAAATACTGGGATTTAAAAATGGGAGAATGCGCATCAGTTGATGGTCGATGGTTGTGTTCTAACAGCCACAGTATCACTAACTCTTGCACCTGCTCTGTAAACAGCCAGTTTTCAGAGCAAGGCTACAGTAAAGTGATAATATTTGATGATGGAGAGCATAATTTATCTTGTCAACGCTGCTGCCCGGCTCTGAAAATTACTGCTGGCAGCGAGATGCAAAAATATACATGCAAATGAATGTTGTTCAAGGGGGTAAATGCAGAAGAATAAGTCCTGGCTGGCGACGCTCAGACCTCGCTGTGGAAAATTGGCTAATGATTAAGTAAAACCGAATGCTGAAAATATCTCACATTCATCGCAAGGCTTTTTTTGTTTTGGAGAAAGATGATCATTTGTATGCTCTGCTGCAGGCGTCCACCTATCGAGTCTGGACAGATTGAAATGAGCTGTTATTCAGGGCTTTGTATTTCTGTAAGTGATCATCCTCAGCCTGTAACTTGTCGGCTGAGATCTAATTAGTATAGCTTAAGGCTGCCTCACTGTCTTGAGGCTGTTACTTCATTGTTTTACAGCCACTGGAATGTAAATACAACCGTTTTGTCTATTTTGAATACGTTTATATGCAGCTGGTTCTTATCTGAAATTAGCTTGGTGAACGGGTCACTGTTCAACAGAGCCAAAATGCCTTTTCTTTCATGCCTGCCCATGTTAAATTGTTTGTACTCAATAAATCTGTTCTCTAATGCATTTTATTGCACCGTCTTTAATGTATTAACGAATAAAATAAAATTGGGTTTCTTTAAACATTGGCAACCATACATGTGACGGCGATAAGGTGGTCAATAAATGAACACAAAGCGGATAGTTTCAGGAGTTTATTTTAAACTTTATTCTCTCAAAAGGTTTTAAAGTTATTAGATTTTTCCTGTCAACAGTTGTTGGGTATTTTACATAGCTAGAGAGTACAAAATGCAGATTAAAAACCACTGAGGAGAAGAGGCAGGTAGGGAAGAAGAAGAGGAGGAGGAGGAATAAAGAAAGTGGAAGGAGGTGACAGAGAAAAGGTGTCAGAGATACCACAGATATAGTGACCAAGAAAACGTGATGCAAGTTCCCCAAAACCATTTAAAGGTGCACATGGAAACATCTGTATTACTTCTGTGTGACGGCCAAGAGAAGCTATTTTTGTTCCTCCGGTAAAATGTAAATAAGCCAGAGAGAGAGAGAGAGATCATTACATCGCTACCACATTTCCTGGAAAAACTCTTGAGCTGAACAGCCTTGTTAATCTCTCTACACCCAACTTCCATCATTTTAATGAGGTCACTTGAGATAGATCATAGTTCAGGGACAGAGCCCACAGTAAAAGGCAAGACGGCAGTGGTAAAGTGTGTGTGTGTGTGTGTGAGAGAGAGAGCGAGAGAGCCACTATCCTAGTAACAAATGAACATTTATAAATGCAGTTCCATACACTGTACATAATCTATATCCCCTGTATGCATATATTGAATATATGTGTTATTCTATTATGGCTTTATTGCATCATACTCCTACATGTACCCGATTCTCATATCCTTATTATTTCTTCCCTTACATTCAGAGTAAAGACGCTTCAGCCCCAAACTGCGACTGCGTGATCCTGCTAACGCCTGGTCCTGTTGAGTGGTTTGGAAAAGCAGTCAAGGTTCACATGACCCACAACTTGTCCCCGATTTCAAGTTGTTCTCATCAACACATGCACAACAATCTTTTAGCACTTTGGTGTGAAGAAGGTTCACGTGTGAGCTCAGCCGTGACCCACATCACGCTAAAAGTTGTCTTCTGTTTTGTTTATGGCAGTATGTTCATTCCTCCTGCAATATTTTTACTCTCCATATTCCATTTACCGATCTGCGTCCACAATCTATTTGACATTTCTTCACATGCACGATTTCGTTCTCGTGAATAGATGTGATCGGTGCTTTGTGTTTTTAAGTTGGTGTTTTTGAAGCCGTGACGGAAAACTGGACTTGACTTTAGGAAAGAGATGAAACCAGGTTCAGTTTTCCTGCTCATTTGAAGTCTGACTTTTCAAAATAAGACCTGTTTCTTTGAGCCACCTTTTTTTTTTTACGAGACGCCCCTCACAAGCCAAAATTGACAAAGACAAATTACGTGGGTCAGTTTGGTCTTGATTGAAAGTTCAAGAATATCACAATAGCACCATATCAAATGAAAACATACCTCATGCATCTCTAGATATATAAATACTGTTTATATGTTAATGAAGAGATATGAAATTTAAGGTTCCATACACAAGTGTTGAATATATTTCAAGTTCACAGAAATAACTACAGCCACAGTTTAGTTCAGAATAGAATCTATATTCAAGACTAACAGCTTGTGGTGTCACATGACTGCTCGTATGTTGTCAATCTGAAATCTCAACAGTCAAACCCCTTCACAGTGCAAAGAGCGTTTAGTTTGCGTACCTGCTGTAACACTCGGTGTGTGTGTGTATTGTGCAGCACCAGAGTTTGCTCATCACCAAGTCTTTTCCCCGCATTTACAAAAGCCCGTTAACTTCACTCTAACTCTATGAGTAGCGTTCAGCGCTCCAAATTCAAACAGCACAGTATTACAGTTCACAACCATTTCATAAGGCAGATTAATTTAAGTACGCTTCGGTACTCGGGTCACCCATCGTTCATTACAGGCCTTCATATCGTATCAAAGCATGCCTCGCTGAAACTGAAACAAAAGAGGACCTGCAGCAAAAATAACACAACAAAAGTTTTACAAACGTTCTTTGGTTGAGTGTGAAAGGAGCATTCCTGTGCTTTAATCTAATGCTTTGAATTTGGTATTTGTTAAAAAGAACACAAAGGAGAAAAAAGTGGATCTTTAAATACAGGCAAAAAGAGTGACGCCTTCAAACTTAACTACAATATTTATGTTAATGCTCGCAAAATAATATGATATAAAAAAAAAATCTAGTGACAAAAAGCTTTCTCCGACTGATTGTACACGAATACTACTTTCTCTTTCCAGGTTGCCTCGGCAACCAACCCCACCTCCCTCCCTCCCTCCCTCCCTCCCACCTTCCCTATGCCCCCCCCTCCCCTCCAATCTCCATCTCACTTCTTCTTGGCAAAGCGGCTGAACTTCTTCTCCTTGTCTTTCTTGGCAGAGCTGGGCTCAGGGAGGGCAGCGGAGGAGGTGGAGGAGGGAGGGGGCAGGCTGTGGGCTTTGGCCCCCGAGGGCCCTGACGCCTCCTCTGCTGCCAGGGGCTGAATGGCCTTCTCCATGGCCTGGCTCCAACGCTGGAGCTCTTCCTGAAATTAAGACCAAAAATACACACATCATATCCCACCTTACTGAGGGACTTAACGTCCAGTGGGACGGCATGGTTTCGTCTCTTGGTCTATTATTAGTATTAGAATGGTGTCGTGCTTTAAACAAGGAAACTATATGAAAGGAAAAATGGAAGGTATAGGTAGAAAAACATATTATTTAAATTATATTATGTTATAGTTATATTAATCTGTAAAAGCTAATGCTCTCTGTGAGTTCAATGAAGGAAATGTACTTAGCTGCATATATAAATAAATTAGAAAGGTTACTTAAACGTTGTCAAAGTGCAACAGCGTATCCGTGTGCTGCGTTGTACCCTGTGACCACGGCATTATAAAGGAGCAGAGATTACATGTTGATGAACTTTCACAGCAGCAAAGTCCGGAACATACAATCTCGTGTTATTCACGGAGAGCTGATGAGTTTTTAACCAAGCGAGAGAGAATGTGTAACGTACCTCGTCTTTACACTGGAACAGATATTCACTGCCATCACCGAGACTGTGTGAGAGGAGAGAGAGGGAAGTTGAACATTTGTGTGGAGAAAAGCAGATGTTTCATTTATCACAGCAACATCAGACCTAACACTTTAACTTGTTTTTGTACATTTGAAAAAGTTTGCTTTGCGAAGCCAGCAGCACAGTGAGCGCAATTAGTGCTGTCGTCATTAATTATTCTGTCGGTTCGTTAAGAGGACATTTCATTAAAGGTAAAGCACGAGAAGACATCATCACATGTCTTGTTTTGACTTATCACAACAAAATCCCAAAATATTTACTTTAATGGAAGACCAAGAAAAGTGGGACCAACACATCTACATCAACTAATTGTTGCAGCTCTAGAAAGTGAAGTATTATTAAAGTGTGTGTGTTCAAGAGTTCAGTAGAAATTGGTTTGCATTTTGCCCTGATCTTTTTTCAATATACAATTTGAAAATACTTGCGGTGTTGACTGAAGTTTTTGGGATTTTCTCTGGAGAGTTTCAAACATTGCTTTGCTAAATGTCAAGTGAGGTGAAGAAAAAAACAGAAGCACACAAGGAGGACAATGCAGCACCTTCAACAAAGGTGGGATTTAAATGTGACGGCAGGAACTCTGGTCTTTTCACATAGAGCTTGAATGGGGCCTTAAAATGTGCGTGTGACTATTTTTACACAAATGACGTATTTGCTGTAGCGTTGCTCTGGAACACAACCATGTCATGGCAGGTGTATTCTTCAGGACCTGGGAAGTGCAGTGTCAGGTGTGACGCTGTTCGGATGATGCTCTCAACAAAGCTGCGAGCTGGATTAATGCAGCGTCCTGCCCCTGCTGACAGGCGCATTTTACGTAGCTACTGAACTAGCGATAATAAAAAAAAAGCAGAATATGCAGCTTAAAAGAAATACAATTAGTCCAGCATATAACCTTCCCTTCTCTGCACATCTTTGCCAATCTTGGAGCCCGACGGCTCATGTGATCACAAATTAGTCTCTAGGGGCAACTGCCAATATTTTTGAGGTTATCCGGTGTAGACACTGCTTCAGTCGGAAAACAACATATTTTTTATAGGGATTTTAGTTTCAGACAAAATTTTGGCTAATCTCTATTAACCACTATCTGCATATGACTAAAAACAAATTAAAAGCTAATGCATTTCAGTCAATGTGCTCTTCTGCTCTCACACAGGCTGTTTACCTGCTGGCAAACAAACCCTGCTGTTAAATAATTGGTCAAATTAGAAACAGGAAAGCTCCCGGCCGCAAAATCTAAAGATTCTGTTTCTAGAATTGAATTTGTAGGAAATGAGCTGGTTTCCTTTTCTGTTAACGATGAGGAAAATGAGAAAAGCTAAAATGGACTCTCACTGTAGTTTGGCGACGTGCTTCTTTTTCTTGTAGTTGGTGAGGATCTCCCAGGTGGCGTTACTGAGGGACAGGGGGTCCTCGCCGTGATACGTCACTCCGTGCCCGAAGCTTTTGGCGTCCTTATAGGTTGAGAGGTGACCAGGCTTCAGCACACAGAACAAGTTGTTCCATGACCTGTCGAGTAAAGAGACGCGTCTTCATAACAAAAATACTGTTTCTGTTTTCAACGACATATTAGTGTGCTTGAAAACATTTACATACTTTCCTATATTTTTTCTTTGCTGTATGAGAAAGTATTTGAAGACTTCATTATGTACCTGTTGGAAGCCTTCTTTCCTGAGCCCTCTACGTCATGTTTGCGGCCCAGCATGCCCTCCTGCAGCATAGCCTGACCTCTGAGGGGCTCCACGGGCATTGTGGCAGCTCTCTCCGGTTCTCTCTGCATCACTTCTGAGACGGAGGACTCCAGCTCCAGAGAACCGCTCTCCCTCATCTCCGACACCATGGGGACCGTGGTGTCACCGGCTGTCTCCTCCAGCGCATGAGAACTGGGCTCAACGGCACCAGAACCGGTCTGGAAGCAGAAAAGGTGGAGATAACAAAGAACAACAACAAAGAATGAGACCGGAGAAACCACCATCAAGGAGCTCTTTCAAATGTGAGTTGGCTAAAAAAAAGGAGACTAGAATTATCACGTTGCAGCCTCGGCTGTTACGAGCGCAGAGGCATGAAATGGCTCCAATTCTAGCATCTTTAAACAGAGGTCATGAGTGTTTTACGTACAGAGGACGGGAGCTGAATGAATGGAGTTACCAGAGTTTGTTCCTCAGCAGTGTAGATCTGTGAAGATTCTTCTACAAAGCCTGTGTCTTCTCTCCTGGAGGAAAGAGGGCAGCATGCGGTCTGCATTAGAGACCTTCCACAGCAGCAACAGGGTGAGTGTGAGTGAGAGAGAGAGTGCTTGAAAGTTTAGGGGATAATCAGCACTTCTGTGTTTGTGCTCAAATTCTCTGAAAACAACAACTTTGACTTCCCCAGCATTTCTGCTCTCTGAGAATTTCTCAGAAACCCACTGTTTGTTTCTTGAACTGTAGTTTTTATGGAACAAAAGTGGAACCGGTGTGTGTTTGTGGTGAACGTGTCACTCAGTGCAGTTGTGTGTCTCACTGATTTGTTTTTAATAGTTTATGTAGAACCAATGGAGCTCTATGGCAGAAAGGGATTAGCCTCATCAGGCTTTAGATTCACTGATGATACGATCAATTCATAGGTCACACTAGAGAACGCTCCGTGCATACGGAACAGTACACATGAATGCCTGTGTGTGTGTGTGTGTGTGTGTGTGTGTGTGTGTGTGTGTGTGTGTGTACCTGCTGTCCTTATCTGATTGTTGTTCGTCTTTAATGAACTGCTCTATCTCCTGCTGCTGCGTCCTCAGCTCCAACAACTCCAGCTGCAACACAACAACCAGTGTCAGTACCTACTCAAGTAATTACTTCATTTCATTTAAATAATTGGATACAGTACAGATATCGTCTTTAGATATGATAAATATTTATACTTTTAGACACATCCAAATGCAAATACATCTAGTTTTGTCCGCTTGATTGAATAATAGCATTAAAGTGTGAAATTGAATTGAAAATTCATTAGGTGTAAACATGTAACTTCAACAAGAGCTGGAACAAGATGGAACAGAATATAAATCATTATGTATTATAACAGGGCGGATTAAAAGTTTATTTTGATTTTTTATAAATATATATATATATATATATAATTTAAAGCCCCTGAAGATGATATTTCCAGCTACAGTTATACGACTGGAGCTTCGTGAATAAAGTCCAGGTTTCCCTCGTACCGTAGTGAGGCGCTCCAGGGCACAGAAGCGCTCCTCCCACGTGGCGGTGGATTTCTCGAAGGCCTCGTGCCTCTTGAGGAGCTTCTCCACCTCGTCCACCGTGTGGCCCAGGTCTCTGCTGGTCACGTACGGCTCCTGAGCGATCAGCCAAGCCTCCGCCACCGAGGCGTCCCGTGCAAACTGACACACCTCCAGCACTGTGTGTAACGAGGACAGCTGCTGTTATGAAACTTTTACAGATTTGGTTTTTTGCATCTTGCAAATATCACTAATTTAAAAGAATGACACCTCTGAATAAAAATAATGACGTTTTAAAAAAGAATGAATTGTGAGGAAACCGAGGAATTTTTTCACTCACAGAGTCGGAGCCAGTCCCATCTGTCGTCCCACTTGAACATCATCTCCTTCCGCTTCTCCATCAGCTGCAGCAGCTTCTCTTTGATCTGACACCAGCAGTAACACAGCCGCAGTCATATATCAGTATTATAAAACAACTCAGCCCCAAGACTTGCCATTATCTTCTAAGAATTAGTATTGTGAAGTAATTAACCGAATGTTAAATTAGGGTCAGGGTCAATTGCTCATTTAAATTCTTTTGGCTTTCCATTTCTAATTAGTATTTGCTTTATACTCTCCCTGATGAGTGTAAGAGGAGTTGAGTTTTTTTTCTTTCATAGCAATCCAATTGGATCCATTGAGCCAGACGAGAACAATCACTCCCAGAAAAGTAATTAAATCTAATGAAAGCAGCAATTTAAGGCCCAGCTGAGGATGAGGGAGAATCTGTCTTTGTTGCAGGAGCCTCACCTCTGCAGAGTCTCGGTGCTTCCGTGTCAGCAGGGCCTTGCCGAGGTCTATGCAGTCGGTGAATTTGGCTCCCCTGGCTTCAATCTCAGAGCGGATCCCCTGGTGGTACTTCTGCAGGAGCTCCACGGATGAGACGTCCCTGAAGGATGTGAAGTGAGAACAGGTAAAGCATGAAGCTGATCTGCTCTCAGACAACTAGAGCTGCAGAAATGTAAATTATAAGGTCCTGACAAATGTATTGCAGCAGGTTCTTTATTCAATCCAAACAATACTGTACTTATACTATATCTTAATGGATATATGGATGGATATATTGTACTACATTCCAAGTATTACTACTACTAGGTAGATTGATTATAGATTATATATAAAGTTTTAAAGCAGGTTAATTATTTAGTTCATATTTTTGTGAAAGATGTTTTATGGAATGGATCTCAGGCACGGTGCACGCACCTGGGTTTCTCCTGAGTCTCTATCTGCTGGATGATGCTCTCCATCCAGGCCATCAGGTCTCGCACCATGGTGAAAAAGCGGAACTTTTCGGCCGTGTCCACCAGTTGCGCCCTGCGGCCGTCGCAAGCGTCCAGCAGACCCTTCCAGGCTTCCACCACCTCTCGCTCTGTGGCCTGGATGGCATCCGCCCTGTTCCCTGCATACTGGGCATGAAGCCTCGCAGCCGTCTCCTGGAACTGTTGAACCTGGAGGGCGAAAAAAAACGACTTGTAAGGACAAGAAAAAGATTTTGTGCATTCTTTATTCTTTGACCGATATTTCCCAATTATTTCCCAAAATGTATTTTCTATATCAAATATTCTAAATCCCCTTCCTCTTAATTAATGTCAATTTCTATATTGAATTTTTAATTTTAATTAAAGCAGCATTTGTTGATTTTTTTTAAACCACATGGGGGCAGCAGAAACTGTAAACACATGACTTTAAAATGGATATATTGAATAATGCATCTTTAACTTTTATAATCTGCTCAGATGCTGACAAATTGTAACTATCCCTGTCCTGGACACCCCCTCCCCCGTCTCCTCATACTTCTCATACAGAAAACGTTTCACAGTTTCTCCTTCATTTTGCAGCTTCCGAGATGTAAGTCATCGAAGTTTGCCTCTCGACTGCTGCCTGTTATTGTGCCTCAGAATGAAAAAGGCTGATTTGCTGAGTTCTACCTGTTTGCCCAGTGCCGTGATGTCTCTCTCGAAGGCGGCGTGCATCCTGTGGAAGGACTCGGCTTTGCTGAAGTCCTCGCCCACGTCCTCTGGCAGCTCTTTCTGCTTCTCGTGGATCTGAGCCACCAACTCCTTCCCGTCATCAAAGTACCTTAGAAAAACATGAATCTCTCAATCACTCATTCATCAATACATCACATTATGTAGAATCACAGGATGAGACATACAAATCCAGATAACTATTGTATTCATTCATTGAGGCTGGTTTTTCTTACTTCAACAGTTCATAAGACGCCGTGAGGAGCTGAGCACGAGTGTCGATGAGCTCCAGCAGATCAGCCCAGCTTTCATTGATGGTGTCTTTCCACTCTGCCATGGCGGCCGCCTCGGTGTGACCGGCTTCAATCAGCTCATCTATCGTCAGGTTGACCACGTCCACACGCTCCTGTCCCACCATCCCCGTCTCTCGTGCAAATTCCCTGAACTTATCCCTCAGAATCTAAAAAGGAAACGAGTAAACACAGTATGTTTAAACACATTTTGTACATAATATGTATTTTCTTTGGTGTGAATTTCTCTTAAATGGATCTCTTTATTATATGATATAATGTGTAATGGGCCTATAAGCTATGATAGTGTGTTTTTGTGTGAATAATACCGTGACATGATCCAGGTCCTGGCCCATCTCCTGAGAGGAGGCAACCACGTCTCTCTCTGCGATCCACTGCTCCAGGTAGTCCACCTCTCGGCTCAGCAGGAAGTGGTGGAAGGTGTGATCCAGCTTCTTCCTGCGGTCCTCCGCCAGCTCCTTCAGCCCCGCGTACTGCTTATCCACCCGGCCCTGTCGCCTGATGATGCCCTCGCTGCAGACGAGGTAAGAGAGAGAGGATGGAGGTCAATGAGACGTCGGGAAGATGGAGGAAATAAAAAAGAAGGGTAAAGAAATTGGATTCAGGTTTACCCTAGATGAGGCATGTGATTAGGATTCAGGAATTACCACAGTTTACATGTTTGTCCCTCTTATCTACCATAACCACAGCTGACTGGGACAACAAGAGGGAAACAGATTTCCTGCAGTGTTTTTTTCTGTGTGTACATCAAATTTAAAAAGCACACACCCATCAGGGTGGTCCTCAGCAAACATCTTCTGGGCACGGCCATTCAGCTTCTGAATGGAGTCGGCGTAGTCGTCCACCGCCTGCTTTAGGAGCATGTGGCGCTTCAGCATCAGCATGGCGCTTTGCTCATCCTGGAGGAAGAGGAGGACGAGGAAGAAACGCGGGGGAAGAAGATAAACAAGGAGGAAATAATGTGAAAAAGAGATGAAAGAAAAACAAATGAGCTCTCAATGGAGGCTGCCACTTAAGAAAAGCGTGTCAGCTTAATTGAGGAAAGCCTGAACCATGTAATCATGTTAATGCATACAGTGCCACTTGTTATTAGTACGTGATAGGGGTTTTTTCAATTTAGATAATATGATCTGCGTTGCAAACACTTCCCTGAGATAATCAGACCGTACTTGTCTTGTCAGGCACTGAGCTGCTTCTCACCTTGGCCTTTTCATCTGCAATCATGTAGAGCTCCTGCTCCCCGATCCACGCTTCGGCCTCGTCTGCGTCATTGTAGTATTGCTGGGCCAAGTTGGAGCCGTTCAGCCTCTCCCGCCGCTTGGCCATCTCATCTTGCAGCCGGGCCCACGCCTCCTCCAGCTCCTTCAGCTGGACTGTGATTCCCTCTGCCTCCGGCCTTCCCTCGGCACTGGCGGCCGCCGCCATCCTCCCTCCCCGCTCGAGCACTTCATCCACGCGCGGCTGGTGGCCCTCGATCTCCCTCTGTAATGTCTGATGGACAGAAAACACAATCCGGCATTATCACAGAAAACTAATCATTTTTTTGTCCAGGTGGCACTAAATCCCTCTGTAACTGTTGAAGCAACTGAATTATTATTTAGTGTTCACAGAATATGGTCACATGGGTCCAGTGAGTGGTCAGATCTCACATCTGGGTTTGTCCACATCTGTACTTGGAGCTGTCCAGGTGAAAAACATTCTCTAGAACATTTGCTGCTTTTCTTGTTAATTTTTTAATCTGAAGAGAAATTGTGAAGGACAATTATTGTGTCCCCTATTTCATGGGCCTTGCTAATTGATTAAGAAACCAAATTAAACGCAGCACTCAAAGTTGCAAAAACCACAACCTTTTATTTTTTAATCTAAAGTGAAATCCCTACCTGGTTCTTCTTCTGCAGCATTTGCACAGTTTGAAGATTGTGCCCGTGCTCTTCTGACGTTGCCAGGGGCATCCTCTCCTCTATCCAGAGCTGAGAGAGAAGACGATGGAGGGAAAAAAAAAAAAGGAGATTATGACGATAAAGAAAGAAAAAAAAAAAAAAGAGACAGATTTCTTTGGAAAAAACAGACTTACAGATCTCTGACGTTAACCGAGTATAAAAGAAAATGTTAGGACCATCTCAGTTATATTGAATTTTCTTTTACCCCTTCACAAAATGTCTCGAACTACTCAAACAGTAAAAATCCTTCTTTAAGCCGTCTCCTCCACCTGACTGAAGTGGATTTATGTTGAGAAACCAATAAGGGATTAAAGCTTTTACCCAGATTCACCTGGAGAGTCAATTTCATGGAGCGAGCAGGTGGTCTGACTATCACGCGGACTGAGTTAACATACTGTAATTGAAAACTTCATTTCCAAATTAACAAGTTATCATTTTTGGGAGAAAAGACACCCCTTGAATTTCAGACTTGAATATTTTCAATATTAAAAAATGTAACTCCAAAGAGTTTTGATATTTCTGTCATTCAAAAGCTAACATGAACCCTTTTAAAATCAAACACTCTTTATTCTCACTCATTGCGATCAATCACTTGTGCGAACAGGGACTCTCAGCACATTCTGCTCTGAAACTGGATGCACGCTTACCAGCTCATCGGCCAGGTCTCTGTAGAACTGATGGACGGCCTTGGCGGCCTCCAGCTTGGCCTTGCGCTGTGCCAGGGGCTGAAGGAGCTGCTGGAAGTCCCTCTGCAGGACCTGTTGCTCATCCTCCAGCTCCGGCTGGTCCTCCCTGACCCCGCCGTGTTTCCTGACCGCCTCCTGGAGCTCCTCCAGCTCCTTCGCCCGGTCACGCACCTGGTTGTCTATCATCTAGCAAGGCAAGAATTTAGAGGAAAGGAAAAAAAAAAAGATAAATTGCCTTTTCAGAATCAGGATGTTGTGGAAATCCACCAAAAGTTAGTTTGTCTTAACTCTTTATGTGTGAAACTGAGCTTAGCCACTGTTATTATGAAAGTTTGATCAGTGCACTGGCGACTGTAACATCATTTCACAGAACTTCTGTTGTTGGTGTTTTTTTCCCATTAAGATTTAGATGTAAGGCTTTTGTTTGCTGTGTTCAAATGCAAACAGAAAACATTAATACAGATCCAGCACAGACGCTCACTCACTCAAAGTTAATCCGAAGAAAAAACATGCGCTAACACTATAATGTATTCACTCCCATGGTGAGATTTAACTAAATATGATCAGAGACACGCGTGCATCCCGAGGAAATGCAGCCACAGAAAGCATACAAATCTAAAGCTTATACAGAGAAACGCAACAAAGACGCAGACCTGATGCTTCTTGAGGAGGATGTTGGCCTTCGTCAGGTCTTTGACGTCCTCTTCTCCGCTCTGCAGCTGCTGCTGCAGCTCGCTGAGCCACTTCTTTATGTCCGCCTGGCTCTGGTCGAACAGCTCGGAGCGATTGGCATCAAACAGCAGCCGGTCCTTCTCCTTGGTGGTGGACTCCAGTTTGTCCCACAGCTCGTGGAGCTTGGCCAGATGTTCCGTCACTATGGGCTCAAACTCAGGCTTAGACTCCATCAGCTCCTGACCCTCCTGTGTGCAGAAAAACACCCCGAGAGGAAGACACGGTGATAGCGTATTAGAAAACGAAAATATTACCTGGCATTTTAATAAACTGTAAAATTGAGCATTAAAGCGTAAAGGTAGATGCATATACCTCATGAATACAATCATGTGTTTAAATTTTGCACTAAAATGTTTTATAAAACAGATTAAAATATTAACGGGGGGTTAGTTCCCCTGAATTATAAAACCACTCATGTCCTCATTCTCTGTAGTTTATCATTGTGTTAAAGTAGTACTTTCTGCTAAATACTAAATAAATCAAACCTAACATGGGATCTCTGACCCTCTCGCTGCTCATCAACTTATGATTTTCATTTGAGTTGGTAAACAGTCGCTCTATTAAAACTCTGGGCAGCTCTGTAGACATCAGAGTAGTTTAATATCGGTATGAAGATATTCTGAGCAGACAGACCTGGTCCACTTTGTTGAGCCAGTCCTTGTTGGAGGTCAGCTCAGCCGTGAAGGCCTGATGTTTAAGCCACTTGCTGTGGAGGTTCCTGGCCCCGTCGTACGACGTGTCCTGAGCCGTCAGCATCTTCTCGTTGATCCACAGAGTCAGCTGGAGCACAGAGAGGAGGAGTGAATATCAGTAACAAGTACTGCTGTGAAATAATAAACAAAACCAACTGACTATAATAATCAAGAGATTTTTAAAAATCCCTGACGTCAGGTCTCAGTGAAGGAATAATTAATAATGAATGTAGTATTAGATGTCACCCATCAATTGCATGAACATTAAACTCGTTGTGAACTCACATCCTGAGTGTTTTGCAGGAAGTGCCGCAGGTCGCGGTTATCTGTGAGTTTCTCGGACACCTCCCGGGCTCTGCTGTTGTTCTTGTCGTGCCTGAGGGTCAAACACAAAACCAAGAAAAGAAAACATGAAAGACTTGAGCGTAATCTCTCTCAGTGACAAAGCCCGGACAAACAAGCTGCAGTGAGTAAATCCATGTGAGCTCCTCCTCCTCGTAGAAAAATACCTGACACAGTAACCTGAAACAGTCGTCTGTGTCTCTGCTGCTCCACGAAGAAGTGCTCGCACTTAAAGATCAATATCCATTATCGTGGGCGCCTGTCGACCGAGTAAATTGAGGGAGTTAAGGGGAAAAGCTCCGGTGGCCTCTCCCCTGCCTCGCGTTGACACTGATGTTACAGTGATAAGGAAACTGTTTCACTGGAAAGAATGTGTTGGAGTGAACACATCTGAGCCTGTAGAGGATTCATCAAACTGCTAAAAGAGAAATGTTTAACTTCAAGTGAGGAAAGAAAGTCATGGTTCTGGTTTCTAAGATGTGGGAACTTCTGAGACATGTTTTTGAAGTGATTCAAGAAACTTCAGCATA